CAGCAGCAGCAACATCATCATCATCATCCTCATCATCATCGTCATCGTCGTCATCATCACCACCATCAGCATCATCATCATCATCAGCATCCTCATCGTCAGCATCATCATCGTCATCATTGTCATCAGCAGCATCATCGTTATCATGGTCAGTCTCATCAACATCATCAACAGCATCAGCAGCATCATCATATCCCTCCTCATCCTCCTCCTCTTCCTCCTCCTCCTGACCACCCTCCTGTTCCCCCCCCCTCATCCGCCTCCTCCTACTTTTGCCTACTTCTCCTCCTCCTCCTCGTCCTCCTCCTCCTCCGTCTATGTCTTGCCTTCTCCTCGCGAGAGGACGGCGTGCTGCCGAACATGATCACCTACAACGCCCTCATCAGCGCCTGCGAGAAGGCCACCTGGCTACGGCTGCGGAGCGGGAGGGAGGGCGACGGGCGAGGAGAAAGGAGGAGGGGGAGGGGGAGGAGGAGCGAGGAGCGGGGAGTAGGAGGGAGGATGAGGGCGGAGGAGGAGGGGGGAGAAGGAGGAGGGATGAGCAAGAAGAAGATAGAGGATCAGGCAAAATGAGGGCGAGCGAGGTTCAAAGATCGATGATGAGGGTGTTGGGACCTTTGTGGGCCTCCGGAGGCCTCCAGGAACTTCAGCGAACCCACGAGATCCAGAGACTTCCACGGATGATGATGATGATGATGCTGCTGATGCTGTTGATGATGATGATGATGATGATGATGATGATGATGATGATGATGATGATGATAATGACGATGATGATGATGTTGCTGATGATGATGCTGATTATGATGATGCTGATGGTGATGATGATGATGATTCGAATGCTGATGATGATGAGGAGGAGGAGCAGGAGGAGGAGGAGGACGATGAGAACGATGTTGATGATGGTGGTGATGATGAGATGATGATGGTGGTGGTGATGATAGTGAGGACGAGGAGGAGGAGCAGGAGGAGGAGGAGGACGATGAGAAAGATGTTGATGATGGTGGTGATGATGAGATGGTGATGGTGGTGGTGATGATAGTGAGGACGAGGATGAGGAAGATGATGATGATGGTGCTGATTGTGATGATGATGATGATGATGATGATGATGATGATGGTGATGGTGATGGTGATTGTGATGGTGATGACCAGGATGGCGATGGCGATGACCATGATGGTGATGATGGTGATGGTGATGGTGATGATGATGGTGTTGGTAATGGTGGTAATGGTGGTAATGGTGGTGATCATGGTGGTGGTGGTTATGTTTGTGGCCATGGTGACAGAAATGAGGGTGAGGATGAGGATGGTGATGATGCTGATGATGATGATTGTAGTGATGGTGGTGGTAATGGTGAAGGCGATGCTGCTGATTACGGTGATGGTGATGGTGATAGTGTTGATTGTGATGGTGATGGTGATGGTGATGGTGATGGTGACGACGGTGCTGATGATGATGATGGTCAAGGTGATGGTGTTGATGATGGTCATGACGGCGATGGTGATGGTGGTGATGATGATGGTGACGGTGATAGTTATGATGGTGATGGCAGATGGTGATGAGAATGATGATGATGATGATGAGGAGGAGGAGGAGGAGGAGGAAGAGGGGAAGAACAGGGCCGTAGAAAGCGATGCCGAGAACGACGACGACGACGACGACGGCGACGACGATGACAGGAGTCAACCATGAGGGCCTTCGCGGACCTGTCGCTCCAGGAGCTTCTGAGCCTTTTGGGGGCATTTAGGGTCGGGAGTTGCCAGAGCCCCCTTGGAGCCTTCTTGGGGGCCCGGGTGGGGCCTCATGAGACCAGATTGTTGAACATCCATCAGAGAAGGGGGGGAAGGAGGGGGGGCAAATTGGCACCCTACGTAAGAGCCAAAAACATACCCATTGGATCATGTTGCTTCCACCGAACTTACGGACCACGTCCCCGAAATACGTTTGAGCACCCAGACAAGTATCGAACCATTCATTGTCTGCCCGACACGCCAGTGAAGTGTTGAACGAGTACAGTCGGACATAGGCCAGAAGAACATCCCTCAAGAACATGGGACCCTCTCTCGGCCAGAACACGCAGAACATCCAAGGGTGCCTTCCCCCATGATGCACAAGGACATCCAACAAACACGCAGAACACGAGGGTACCCTCCACGAACCGACCTCGATCTTACACCTCGGTCCGACCGTATCGTCTCGCAGGGCCCGACAAGTGAAAACCCTCCAGTTTCGGTACGTTCTTGGTGCTCGACTTTCTTTCTGGCGGTCAAGGGTAAAGCAGGTTGGAACAGCATAACCCTTGGAGCCCTCTGAAAAGCTCTCGGGGCTCTCTTGTGCGGTCTTGGGGCCCTCTGGAGGCCCCAGAGGCACATCGGAAGCGAAATGGCGAGACGTCGAAAGCATTGACAAACATGACGTAGTTCAAACATTAGACCTCTCGGGGGTCTCTTTGGTACGCTCCGTGGCAATTTGGAGCCGTCTCAGGGATGGTTTGGTTTGAAGGCATCTGGGAGGCATGGTGGAGAACATCTTGATCAATACGGGGCTATCTTGGGTGATCGTTGAGGCCATCCTGGGCTATCCGATGTCATATTATAGTCATCTTCGGCCGACTCGGACGCTCTGACCGCTCGAGGCCCGCCCTCCAGACTTCGGGGGAGGGGGTAGGAGGAGGGGTAAAGCTCCCCACGGACACGCCAAAAGATGCCTCGCTAACTCCAAGCCGCCCTCCCATCATATGGGGCGTTCCAGAAAGGGCCGTGATTTCTTGGATCACAAAAAAATGGTCGTCTTTTCCTCGGCGGAAGATCGGCGGAAGTATAACGAGGCCGCCTCCGCCGGCGGAAGGCTGGCGGAAGGCGGCGGAATAACAAAGTTGCCCACAAAGGGTTGAGAACATGTTTGTGTTCAGGGCTTCCAGAATCCAACATGTACGTAGCACCAGAAACTGGGCATCTTCAGAGGTCGCCCTTGGGTGGACAGCCATCGCGAACCAAGGCTAACGCTAGGTACCCGACCTTCGCGAGGTGCGCCACGCGTGCCAGGCGCACGAGAGGTGCGCCAGGTGGCCCCAGGGGCCCAAGCGTGCCAGGCGCGCTGGGTGTTCCAGGTGCGCCACGTGCGACAGCTGTGCTACGTGCCCCAGCCGCGCCGCGTGCGCCACTGGCGCTCGCAGGATTGCCGCCAGGCGGCGACAGGTGCGGCAGCGCACGTGTGTGCACATATCGGGCAACATGTCGCCCCCCCTTCTACTACCATCGCCGTAAAAAACAAATTCAAAGTGGTGGCGGGTTGATCAGCATTGCGTATGGCGTGTGAGCCCAAAACTATTCTGAATTCGCTTTTGACGAGGACAGCGGGGCAGCGCTTAGCGAACAAATGTACTCACGCACCCGCCATCAGTGTCAAACCTATGCAAAGTGGTCGCAGAACGCCCGCTCATGATCCAGGTGTTGTTGCCACGTGCACTTTGCATTGTTTGTTTGATAGGAGTGGCGTGGTGGCTCATTGTTCCTGCTTGGAGGCACGTCGAGTGGGGAGAAGGTATCTACTACTTCGGAGCAGTGAACAACGCCTTCCAGACAGGGAAGAACGATGTTGGAAGGAGAAACTCGCCAAACCACCTACGCGCATAAGGCTGATGGGACTTCCATCTTTAAGGACATCTTTCCCGCACCGTCTCCTCCCCCGACTCCCTCCCCTGGGCCTCCCCCTCCCCCCCTCACCTAGCTCTCAGTCGTCGTTTCCAGGGCCCACCTGGGCCTCAGCCCCTCCCCCCTCCACTCCCCCCCCCCATGCCCTGGCCCCTCCACGCCCCAGGAGGCGCCGGCAGCGCCTTGGCCCTTGGGCCCAGGGCTCGGCACGCACAGCTGCTGGGGGCTCTCAGCCTCCCCGCCCCCTTTGCCCATGTGCACCCCCTCCCTTACAGCGCGTCCCGCTCCAGCGTTGCAGCATTGCTCACAGTGGTTGTGAGCTGCACTCATTATTTGTTCACGGTGGTACCCCTTTTCGTGGTTGGCCGAGGAACTTGGAATAATGGTGAAAGTTTCGCGACACCTTGCGTGTGTGTGTGTGATATCTCGGTGGCCAAGGAACCTTAAATAAAGGTGAAAGCTATGCATTTCGGTTTCATGTACTTCATGTTCTGAGTGTTCGTGTCTGTCGCAATTGGCTTGATAACTGGCATCGCCCCGGGGTCCACTCCACTCCTCCCCTCCGCCCCCCTGTTACCGGACCAGGTCCTCGAGGGCCTCCGTGGCCCATTCTGAGCCCTCCTTAAAGCATGTAAATTTCCCTGGAGCCCTCCTGGGCCCCCCGGCGGCCCCACCGCACTGGCCTCAGAGCCCCGCCTGCGGGCGCACAAGACACGCAAGCGACGACCACCACCACCACCGCCTCCGCCACCGCCGCCACTGCCACGACGCCGACGACGACAACGGCGACAACGACGCCGATGCCGACGACAACGGCGCCGGCGCCGACGCCGCCGACGGCGGCCGCCGCGACGACGACACCGACGGAGCCCCGAAGGCCCGGCGGCCGCAGCCGCTGCTGGCCCTCCGCCTGCTGGAGGAGGCGCGCGCGCGGCGGCTGGAGCCGAGCCTCGTCAGCGGCGGCCTCGGCTGCCCCGGGGCCCGCTGGCGGGTGCAGCGGCGGCCACGGCGCCGACGACGGGGACAGCGGAGGAACTCAGCTGCCACGATACGCCCGTGTTGGAACGCAACACGTACCGTGGTCAAAGCGTCCGTGTTAGCACGCTGCGTGTTGTCTCAACGTGTGTTGGCCCACGTTTTGCCGAACGCGTCGCGCCAGACCTACTTCTCCAGTCTACGTGTTGAGCGCCGTGTCCGTACGCGACGTGCCGCGTGTTGTGTATCGGGGCAGCTGAGCGGAGGAAGAGGAGGGCTTATGTTTCAGATCACCGGCCAAAGACCCACCCTCGGAGGCGAGGTGTGGCCACGCGTGGCCTGTCTGACAGCTGCACCGACCGTTGCTCAAGCGAGCCACAGCTGCTGGGAAACGACTTGGGGCAGGAGGAGCGCGGCGAAGGCCAAGAACGCCCTGGCGCCAACGGGCTTCCAGCCCAGCATGGAGGTGGAGGAGGAAGACGAGGAGAAGGAAGAGGAGAAGGAGGAGGAGGAGGAGGATGTGGATGATCTGCGACCCTCTTTGCATATCTTCTGCATGCTGAGTCACAAGTATCGAGCACCACAGATCTTTGTCTTGCAGGGGCGCTGGTGGAGGGCGGTTGAGGAGGTGATGCTGGAGTGCGCGGTGGAGGTGCAGGCACAGGTGCAGCTGAGGGCGCAGGCGTTGGAGCAGGTGCAGGAGGCGTGGTCGGTATGTCGTGACACACACACAGTAACAACAAAAGCGCAAACAGTTAAAAAGGGAGTGCAACGTGAAACAAAAACCAGGGCCCAGAGCGGGGCAAGCGATGTCCAAGATTCTGGCGTCGCTTTTTGTTCGCACCGTGCGTTTCCGAGCGGATCCGGGCCCTGGGGCACCCGCAGGTCGACCTGGCGTGAGGATTGGGCGCAGATGGATGAGGTCCTAGGATTCTGGTATTGATTCTTCACGATGTTGCATCGTGTTCGTGACGTCGGATCTCAGGGCTCGCCGCCACCCTGCGAGAGTCTGGCCAGAACGTGCTCTCGGGCAGGTCTGGGGGCCGATCTCGAGCGGACGTGGACCCAGGCCCCGTGCCTCGAGGTACAGACTTTGAAGGTTGCGCTCTTTCTGTGCCTCTCGGGGCGCTCTCGCCGCCACGGCCAGACTCACTCCGAGAGTCTGGCCAGAGCGCTCCTTCTGTGCAGGCCGGGAGGCCGCTTTCGAGCGTGCGGGGGCCCTCAGCATCGTTTAACTTATCGCCATGCCCACCGAGCCCTGGTTTCTCAGCCCCACAATCCCACCACCCCAGTTGGGGATAGGCCCCTCGAAACCCGAAAGACACCTACATACTCATCTATGGGGGGTACATCGGCTAGTGGGACCCAGGCCACGCCAGTGGGGATAGGGGTCGGTTCAACGCTGCTCAGGCCTGGACATCCGCCGTGCTGAAGAGATCGAGGCGGCCCTCAGCCAGCGGCTCAGTGCGCGAAGCCGGCCCCCAGAGGAGCGGTCGACAGCTCTGGGGGGGCCCGCGTCGTGACAAGGGCGCGCCGCCCGGGGCCCCGAGTCGGCTCAGACGACCCCCAGGCCCCTTAGGTTTGCGCCGCTCTTGTTGCGGTCTTCAAGCGCTGTTTGGGGCCAGGGTCCCCCTCTCCAGGCCGTCGGTGGATCGCGCCGCATCGCCGATGCATCGGCGATGCGGCTCGGTGTGGAGCCTGATATTCCCCACGCCAGCGTCGCAGATGCATCGCCAATGCATTGGCGGCGCATGGGCGATGCGGCCCGATCCTCCGATCCCCATATGTTCGGACCCCATTTGGGAGGCGTCCACCCTCCCAGCAGCCAACTGGAGACCGACGAAAGATTCGAGGCGGCGGCGCCGACGCCCCGCTCATCGGCCTTCTGCGAGGCTCAACGTGGCCGCCTGGGCGTCGCAGCACAGCTCACGGCGGGCGCCGCTACCGCCTCGCCCGGGGCCCCGAGGCCCAGATCAGCGGGCCGATCCAGCTCGAGGAGGGCCGAAGATGGAAGTGGTCAAGGGCTCTGGTTGTGATGTTGCACGCCGCCGTATTCTCTGGGGGTGCCCAAACGGTGCGCTGACCACACCGTGTGGTGCGTCAGTAGGGATTCGGGATGGCCGCACGGTTTTGGGACTTGGTTCGTTCTCCGAGGATGTCTCGGGTATTGGGGCCTCCTCCAGGGTCCCACAAACGGTGCGGTGAGGTCCTTCTGGATTTCGAGGTCACCGCACAGTCACCGCATTGTTTTGGGCCTCCAAGATTATTTCACTACGTCTGGTCTCCTTCGTCATATGTGTTTTCATTATGCTCGAATGAATGCGCGCGCGTGCGCAACGCGCGTGCATGTGGACGCACGTCCACAACTACTGCGCAGATCCTCGCTTCGCAGATGCCCACACGCGCGGTTCTTGAGCCCCGCTGGGCGTTACCTTGGCCCCCCATTTGGGTTGAACTGCAGGTGCCGACCGCGGGTGGGTCAGGTGCGGAATCGCGCCAGCAGGGGTTTGCACGTCGAAGCTCAGGGTGGTGCCGCGGGGGCAGACTCCAGGACGCGGGCAGACTCCAGGCCGCGGGCGCTGGCCGAAGTTCGGCCGAGCCCCGCCTCGTAGGTTGGAGTCGGCGCCACGGGGCAGAGGCGCGCGCCGATCTCGGCCAGCTCTGGGGCCCTGGGCACCGGAAGCCCTCGTGCTCCCCGCCTCGGCCCCCCCGAACGGGCGCCCCTCCGGCAGCCCGCTCCGGCTCGAGCCTCAGGACCACGTCGGAGCCTGACGCGGCGGGGTCGAGAGGTCAGGCTTCCGCTTGGCCGCCGTGGGGGGCCTCCCCGGGCCTATCGGGCCGCAGGCCCGCCCGTCGAGCAGGCCCAGCAGTGCCCACCTCGCTCCCACATGCCTGCCACTTGCGGCAGTGCAGCGTCGACCGCCGGCGCTCTTGCGGCAGTGCAGCAGTGGTTGCCCCTGGGCCCCCCGGGTCGAAGACTCGGGCCTCTCACCCTGTGGGCCGGATCGATCTGTTGGGCGGTTACGGCCAGTGGAGGCAGAAGGGGGCGAAGGAGCAGCGTGTGATCGACCAGGCAGAGGCAGAGGAGCGGCGGGAGCGCCAGGTCCGCGAGGACGAGAAGAGGAAAAGGAGGGAAGAGCGCGAGGCCAGGCGGCGCAAACAGCAAGAGGAGGAGCAGCAGCGCCAGCGGCTGCTGGAGGAGAAGGAGCGGAGGGTGCGCCTCGCGCAGGAGGAGAGGGAGAGGCAGGAGGAGGAGGAGGAGGAGGAGGAGGAGGAGGAGGAGGAGAGGCGCCTGAAGGCGCAACAGGAGGAGAACGAGCGGCTGGCCAGGCAGCCCAAAATGTGCACCACGCGCATTGGCTCTGGCAAGTGTTCCGCCTGCGGCGGCAAAGGCTCATTCGTCAAAGCATTCCTGGCGCCTTCAGTGGGCACGGACACCATGATGGGCTTCGGCTGCGCGTAGCAGGGTTGTCCAGAGTACGGTGGCTGCGCCCTGGTGCAGGTGCCCTGGTGCAGGGCCCTGGTGCAGGGCTCAGGCGACTGCTACCAGTGCGACAGCGTTGGCATGGTGGCCCCGATCGTTGACGACAGTGACCCTGACCTGGTGTTGAGGCGCCGTGTCGGCACCAGGGGGACTAATAGCTTGAACTTGAGAAATACGCGCGGAAGCTCCGACTCCACGCGCAGCGGCCGCAGGCAAAGCATAAGCAGCCTCGCGGCGGAAAGCGCCTGCGGAGGACGAAGGGAAGGACAAAGGGATTGGAGAACATCGGTGTATTCGCGCTTTGCACTTGTGGCTGCTAAGCCGCGAGATAGCTTTTCGTTTGTCCAGGCTTGTCCTGCCTCGCTAATATGTGGCGCACCAGGCGCCCTCATTTCACCGATGGGTACCCACCGTGGTGTGCGCCCATGCGGTCCCGCGCCCTTGCGCGAGCTCTCGAAAGCTAGGTGGCGTGCCTCCTGCTTTCTCTTCCTCCACTTCCACCCCCTGGTCACGGCCCAGGGTCACGCTCTGTTGCTTCATCGTCTTCGGGAGCCTTTGGGGCCCCGCTTTGGGGGCTCGGGGAGCCTCTCAGGCGGTCTTGGAATTCCTCGACCCTTGATGTTTAGACGGTTTGGGCCTCTCGTGCGGGCCCCCGAAGGCCCATGACCACTTGGGAGCTCTGTGACATCCGCGGCTTGGTCCTCGAAGAATCCTACAAAAGTTTACGAGCTTCGCGGCAAGCGCCCACGCGCTCGAGGCACGGGGGCGATGTACGGGGGCAGGTGTCTCACGCGCTTCTGACGAACTAAAACAAAGCCGGCAGAACTCGGGAAGTTGCCGCGGGCAGTGAAAGGATTAGGTTGCCCCACAGTGATGCGAGCTCAGTGAGCCGACAGCCGTCGCTGCGGGTGCTCCTCTCGGCGCATTGCTGAGGAATTCTGATCTCGGCTTCCCTGGGCTGGTAACCCTTTGCGGGAGATTCCTGTTTCGTTTTTTACACCAAAAAAGAAATCGCCCCAGTCGTTGTTCGTGTTGTCGCCATGGATCTCTGGCGAGGGCACTCACCGTTGGGTCCCTTCGCGTTCCTGCGAGCTCATCGGCCGTATCGGCTGGCAGCCGCGCCCAGTGCAGAGGCAGGCGGCCCTCTGAAACCGGAGCCGCTGTCTTGAGCTGCGGCTCCTGGGAGGGCCAGGTCATCATTGGCACGTTGCCTGCGAGCCCGTCGGCGTGTTGCTGCTTTGTTTTTGTCTGGATACCTGTGTGTTTCTTCTACAGCAACACGGCGATGGCTTCGAGCTGCGCCCTGGAGCTGTGCGCACGGTTTGGGACGGAACGTTGCGTATCTTGCTTGGCAAATATTGATGGCTGCGGATTTCAGTGTTGGCGATGTGCACCTTTGGATTGCCCCGCGCTGCAGGGAAGCATTTTCCTAGGATCACTTGTTTGTACAGCTTGCACGCCCAAATTACCTGTTTTATGGTGGCTGCTCGTCTGCAC